GTTTGCCAGACATCCTCTTTTCTCGGCTCATACAAGATCTCTGTCTCAATAGGTTTGACTATGTGGGTTGGTTGGTAGATTATGGTCCAGATGTTACTAAGTGGGTTGGGTGGTACTACGTGGGCTCTACAATATAAACGGAAAAAGAAAAAAAAACCCTCAAATAAAGAACTTAAAAAAACGAAGAATGGGTTGAATGGTATACTCATAAAATGCTGACAGATAAAACTGAGCTTGAATGAGTCCTCCCTTTCTTTTCTGATCCCTTAAGGAGCACTGGTTGTGGAAGGGGAGGTCAATGAGTTCGACTTTTTTAACTTTATATATGGCTTAGTACAAATTTGGGAAGCCTACCTCTCTAGAGGAGGTGTTACCAAAATGTTTACTAATTCAAGGAGTTAGACCAAATTTGCCTTTGTAAAAGTCAGAATTTCTTTTTATTTTATATTTAGCTTCATATAAGTTTTGGAAATACATTTTTTGCTTCGAGAAACACTATCGAAATTTCTACGAATCTAAAAGGTAAGTTGAATTTTGTTCTCGCAAAATTCAAGTTTTATCTTGAGTTCAAATTGACTTAGTATAAATTTGGGAAACCTATCTCCCCAAGGGCGATGCTGTCCAAATTTATATTAAATCAAGGAGTTAGACAAAGTTTGACTTTTAAAGTTAGAAGATCGTTTTTATATTTTATATTCGACTTTATATAAATTATGCAATGACATGTTTCCTACAGGAAGCGCTGCCAAAATTTTTTAAAATCTAAAGGAGTTAAAATCTTTTTAGAACCACCGAGAGTTTGAAAGTCTGCCCTCGCGTAGGGGAGATACTACCGGAATTCCTTACATTTTCAAATAAGTATTAGAGGTGAGATATGAAGGTAAGATTATTTCATAATCACTCAAGCATAGCTTGGGCACTGGTCTGTGTTGCGTTGCAGGTTACTCTTACTTAGATTGTTTCAAGGCTTGATTAGCTTAAAGCTGATAAACTTCTATTATGTTTTGATAACATGTCGGTTTTCGACTCCACTTTAATTAATTCTCGGTACTCAATCTAAAGACCTTCACCCTTGTGGATTGAAATATTTCTTTGGGTTTTTACTTGAACTTTTATTAAATGGTCATTTAAAAAGGACGAAGTGTTTTCTTTTGGAATGGTTGGACAAATGTTGGGTTGTATATGGATAAGTCAAAGAGATATGAGTGCAGATAGTGGTTGAAGTTGCCCCCGTGTAGTGCGTGTTTTATTGATGTTGAATCGGTTGATGTGATTGCATATATGTTTTGTGAGTTTAAGTCCAAATTTTGTTTTGTTTGCGATCACACACACACACACACACACACACACACACACATATATATATATATATATATATATATATATATATATATATATATATATATATATATATATATATATATATATATGCCCGGTAAACCGTAGGCAGAGAGAGAGAAAAGGACAACAAACGAGGGGCTGTGACAAACTGTTTCGTCGGTATATATATATATATATATATACTGCAGGAAGCAACACTGTGATTGTAAGAATGATTGTCACGTATCTCTTAACCTTTTATATTATGTTTTTTGTGCCCGCACGACCCATTGAGACTGTGCGTAGCGATTAAATGAGTTATGTATTGAGAGACAAAGAAGATCCCTCTCTATTCTTTGCTTCTTGAGTTTTTATAGTTTGACATTAAGGTTTGTGGCGACCATCAAAGTTAAACCCCTTGACCTCTCTCCAGGCTCTGGATTATGGAGCTCGTCTCCAAGGCCATAAGCGTGGACCGCCACAAAGGGCCGGAGCCTGTCTATCACCCACTCTCCGCAGGGTGTAAAAGAGGGTAGAACTCTCAACCGCCTTGGTGGTTGTCTAACGTTGAGAGATTAGTCCCTCAAGGCACGTATCGGTCGACACTTGAGTGTCGAAGGCGACCCTCGAGACCACTAAGGGCCTCGTGATTATGGGTACTACATAGTATTACTGTGACTGCGACCGCTTGCGTATCCATGCACGATTAGTCAATATGACTAAGATCTGCGTTGCCGCGATATTTATTTAGAGTTTTGCTCGTAACATTCGTCTATTTCTTTTTGTGAGGGTATGAGTCCGATAGGGAAAAAGGGACAAGGTGCGATTAACGTATGGGAGTTTGATCTTATTTTCGTGAGATGTATCGCGTTGTTAAATTTGACCGTCCTAGTCAACTGGCGTAGGGGCGCGCTCGGGAGATCAACGCCTCCGGCGACGATTCGCGCACGGGTCCGATTCGGGTGTTAACCGCGCGTACCCCCTATGGTACACCGAACGAGAAACGCCCTCGGTCGGGCCACCTCTGCGATTGCACATGAAAAACCTTCGCATATGGTTTGGTAGCTCGGCGGGGATATGCCCACTTGAGAGATGGTGACAACTCCCACAAGTGGAGGTAAGTTGTAACTCGCGTGACCCTATCCCGTCGTAGGGGTTCGCGAGAGGTATGGCCGACGCACTCCGCCGGAGCAGCAACGCTCTACGACGAAGTCCTGCAAAATCCTGCGTGACACGACCAGGAGGGTCCCTTTGGAGACCAATGCGCTCGACAACGTGGTATGGAAGGGAGGATCACATTCCTCCCTATGAAGTTTTTCAAGTTAGTAGAGTTCAACCAAGGAGGGAGGAGGTTCCAACAATGAGAGCTGTTGGGCAATGATGGGGAACTAACCATCTACGAGGACAATGAGGAAATCATCTCGATCCCAACAGATTCGTTGCTAGAGGTCAGAGTGAGGGAAGTGGTGTACAATAACGGGGACTGGAAAGGAAAATCCAAACCATTGGGCATGGAGAGGTAGGGGACTACAAAGACAGAACACGAACTTGGATGATTTATCGCTTAAGCTAGCATACGAACTGCAAATGTCATATCGCACTCCACTGATGGTGGCAAATAAAAAATAGGTGCATGTGTATTCGCAAAACTTCGAAAGAATCAATCGGGCCGTGTAAAGATGCTGACAACAACTTTCAGATGCTCCTAACCCTTCGGCCGCCGCTTTGCTTTGGTTGGCTCCTTGTTGGCAACACACTCAGTGGTGAGTCGGGAGATGAAGGTGGATATAAAGTGCAAGCTTCATTTATGTTTTTTTTTTATCGATGATCCACCTATGGTGGAACTCTCAAGCGTATTTGGAGATGGCGGGTCAACCAGTGGGAGGAATGGACAAGAGAGGGATTGAGGTAGGATAAGGATTGGGTCTTGCTAGGAGGGGTCCCAATCAACCTCCCGTTGCAGAAAGGATGGGGGTACGCAGCACAGGCAGTTCGTGTAGTTGGATTCTGGGTGATTTGTAGAAAGGATGGGGGTACGTAGTACATGCAGTTCAGGATTCTGGGTGATCTGGTTGGAGCGTAATCGGGCCCAATTCCAGGGCAGGATAATGTTACACCTGAAAATCAAAACCACGTCCAAGACCCTACTTTTGCAACATGATATCGATTGATTGGAACAGGAGGGTTCCCCAAGGTCGGGGCAGAGGAACAGGGTTGAGATGGTTTCAAAAGACTTGGGCACAAGGGTAACAACAGGGGAGGTAGGGGGTTTGCAATTTTCAGAGTGGTTGCTCAACTAGACATACCAAGACACTCAGTTACAATCCACAGTAGGAGGCAGAAGGGACTCGAGAGGCCCAAGAGTGTCGCTTTACCAAGGAACCAGTTTAGGTTCCAACCGCTGGGTAGGCGGGTTGAGAGGGAGAGGAGGGTTACTAGGGTTAACTTAGGGTAGCAGGTTAGTACTCTTTATGATAGGATAGGTTAAAGGTAAGGTAAGGGGTGTGGATCTGGGTACGAGATTAGGTATTAGGGTTTAGGATTGCTTGTGGTTGGCTGCCTGTGGTCTTTTTTTTGGTTTGTTTCCTTTGCTTTGCTGAGTTGTCGGGCTAAAAAGGCCTGTGTAACCCATTGCTGGGAATGGTCCCAGTCGTCCTGTCTCGAGTCTATCCAGCCTCGTTTGGTGTTTATGAATGAACTCCGTGCGCCCCCCCCCCCCCCCACTACCCCCCTGCACCCAAAAAAAAGAGATTTTTTTTTGAAATGGCCCCCCTGGCTTCCATTTATTTGCAGTATGCCCCTCTGACGGTCGGGTTACCCTGTCGTGGCCCTGAGGCCTCTGAAGTTTCCTGCAGACCCCTGTCAGTGAGGGGTGGAACTTTCCAGCATGCCCCTGTGCCCGTTGGTGGCACTCGCGGCCATTCCCCTGTCCCTGGGAGGGAAGCTACAGGCGCATACTGGAAATTTTGAGCCTAGGGGCATATTGAACATCTTTCAGGCGGAAAGGGTACCGTTTTTTTTGGGCAAACTTCGATCGTTGTCAGAGAGGCGCGACAGGGTAAGTCTACCGTCAGAGGGGCATACCGCAACTAAATGGAAGTCCGAGGGGCATCACTAGCCAGCCCAAGGGCATTGCCACACTACTCTCGAAATGTGCAACATGAGAATGAACTCGGCACTAAAACAATGGCCAGATGCACCCGCCACATCTTTGTATTTCGAGAGTGCTGTGGCGATGCCCCAATTCAAGGTGAATCCTCAATCCTCTGTCTTATCTGTCAGGGTGGCCTTATTGCCATCTGGGGAGTCCCCAGCAGCCATACCACTTGCGAAGCTTCACCCATGAGAGTGGCAACACTGGGCAGTTGTCAGCCGGTAACGTCAGGAACCGAGCATATTGCTGGTTGCCGGCTGTGCTTCCCCCTTTATCCCTCCGCTACGATCATCAGCAGTCTCCAGTTTTCTAGGGTTGTTTCACCCGCCCAAATCAAACTGGAGTTGTCGTTTGCTTTGATTGATTTGATTTGATGCGATGTGTCACCCGTCAGGTGTCATGCGAGGTGCGTGAATGGCGCGGGGAGGCGATCGAGTCGTTACAGCCGAGCCCACGTTTTTTGCTGTTTTGTTGATTTGTCGTTTCGAGGTGTCATGAGCGACGCGTGAAGCTGGCGGGAGGCGATGCGCGGCGCGGGTGTCGCCCACACCCCGGCGTCGTTGCAGCCATCCAGAGAGGGAGCGATCGAGGAAGGACGTGGTCGCTGTGCAGTTAGCGGTAGAAACGCGGCCATACTCACCTTAGGAATTGTCATAGAATAGACGGAACCTGGGTTGATTTCGGGGTCAGATACGTTCCGAAAACTTGGGTGTGAGCTTGCCGTCCTGAAAAAAGACTGCTGTGGCAGGACGAAGACTGCTGCTGCTGACGGAGGCGGGTGATCTCTGCCGCTGTCGTGGTAGGAGGAAATTAGCCACGTCTTCTTCGGGAATTGAGCGGTGGTAAGTTGTCGGTCGATTCATTAGAGGGATCAACGGTGAAGATTAAAATTGTGAAACCGGTGACGTGGCGGTTATACTGGTTTATTTCCACTATTTTTGTATTCATTTTTTGTTTATTACATATCAGTATAATTTTTTTAAATATGTATATATTTGTGACGATATATATGTCCATATTGATATTTATGTCCATATTGATATTGACGTCTTAAGCTTAACGGCTTCTTTTCCTGTACTTTCGCAAACTCTTTGCCTGCCTGCCTCTTTCCTCCGCTCATCCATCTTCCTTGTCCTCTGCTTGGCAACCTCGTTCAGGTTGTGTTCTCGCCATGAATTCCCTGGATGCATCTGCGGGGGATGCATCCGACTGCAATTACGTCCACGAACCAATCAAGAATGTCGTTGTGCGAGGAAGCCCTAACTCGATTTGACCCTTTTGAGTATGCCGCCAGATGGGGCGAAAAAATCCCTACTACGAGGATTCTCCTTCAGTTACGCCTTCTTCTTCTTCACCTCAAAAGCTTTTACGTGGAGGGTCCCTCTTTCCGCTCATCGCTAGAGTGAGGAGAAGTGGAGCAATGAGAGGATTGAGAAGGAACATCGTAAGGAGAGAGGAGAGGTGAGGTGAGCGAAGTCCAAGGGAGGTTGAGGAGGGGTTTTAGTGCTGGCTAGGAGAATGCGTAGAACAGTTACGTAGTTGAAAAAGCCCGTACCCGTTTGTTTTTGGTTGAACAAACAGGGAGAATGCCGTGCAGAGAATGGGTGGCCGGTATCTGCAGATCGTGGTGAGAGAGAGAGAACAGGCAGACAAGGACGGAGACGACGGGAGTGAAGTTTGAGGAACGTGCAGCTACCAGTGAGCCGTGCAAGGACCGGTGAGCCGTGCAGTTACCAGTGAGCCGTGCGAAGAATGGGAGGCCTGAGAGTGACGGGCAGGTCCCGGTGAGCCGTGCGGTTACGAGGGAGCCGTGCAGTTAAGAGGGAGCAGGGAAGGGGGGGAAGGGAGAATAAGTTTTGATGTTGCCACGTGGAGGTGGGGAGCAAAAGGGTAAGTGGATCTTGATGACATTGAGATCGGGTGAGGAGTAGAGGCAGGAGGCCAAAACTTTAAACAAGGAAAGGAGAATGGAATAAGGAGGAGGAGAAGGAGGAGAAGGAGGGGAAGGAGGATAAGAGTTAGGCCCGGGGTGGGACGATGCCTGAGAATTCGAACGCCTTCCTCTTCTTTCCATCTGCTCTCAGGCACTATACATAGATGCCTAACTTTAAGAAAAAGAAAGAAAATTTAGGTTAAGACGAAGGAGGAGGATGAGAAGCAGGAGGAAGAGCAAGGGAGTGGCGAAGATGAGGAGGAGGAAGTGGTAGGAGGAGGAGGGGAAGATGAAGGTAGAGGTCGACCAAGCAGAGAATGGGTGGCCTGAGACTTGAAGGGCTGGCCTCGTGTTGGAATGCGCGCTTGTGCCTGTCGTGTGCCCCATGGCCTGGTCTCGGTATGCTGCACATCGTGACGGATAATGTTGCGTTGTGGTTCCGCTGCGTTTTGGTTGTGGGCTATGGAGACTATCGTCCTCTGTCTCTTGGGTTTCGCCTGCGTCGAGTTCTGTTGGTGTTGCCGGCGGCAACAGACGCATGTGGAGTTGCGGGAGGTGGAGATGGAGGTAGTATTGGGACATGACATGCAGGCCAAGGGGATCATCCGTGGCCTGAGACTTCGGCCGTTTTCTTCTGTTTCACTATCTAGTCTCGTGGGACAGAGCAATCTGCGCCCTCTTTCGTCACTTTCCCTAATCTGGTTGTCCTTTCCAATCTCGTTGTCTCCCATTTTTCAATTTTGCTGCTGGCTCAGTTTCTCTTTCACCTCCGAAAATTGCACCAATCCTCCCCTCCTCATACCCTCCCTTCTTCGCTGCCCCTTCGTTTTCCTCACATACTTCTTGGAGGGACCTTCTCCTCCTTCACTGTTGTTTCCTTCTCCACCGATCCTTGACCCTTTGGTCAAAGTCGCCTCCTCCTCCTCCTCCTTCCTCCTCGCCCTGCTCCCCCTCCTCCCCCTCCTCCCCCTCTTCGTCTTCCCCTTCCTCTTCCACGTCTCCTCCTCCTCCCCCTCCTCCCCGTCCTCCTCCTCCTGCACCTCCTCCCTCCCCCTTCCTCCTCCCTCTCCACCTCCTCCTCCTCGTCCTCTTCCTCGTCCTCCTCCTCTTCCTTCTCCATCACCTCCTCCTCTGCCGTCTTCCCTCCTCTTCTACGCCTCCTCCTCCTCTTCCTTCTCCTCTTGAGCGTCAACGCCTGTCTCATCTCTGCTCGATCAGGCATCTTCTTCATTTAGAAAAGCACAACGAAATTGTCGTGTTTCCGTTGACGCCCTTTTTTTTCTTCATTTAGAAAAGCACAACGAAATTGTCGTGTTTCCGTTGACGCCCTTTTTTTTTTAGCACGTGGGGTGATCATGAGAACCTCAGCCACGTGTGACAGCAAGAAGGGAGCTCCGGTCTGAACTGCGTACATACCACCCACCTTTCATCGGGACAGACACTCATTTAGGGCGGGACCTCGTTTTATAGTCGAGAAGAGGACGAGTGCCACGTAGCTGTCTTGATTGATTGCTATCTGAGGTATTATGATAACGAGAGACATGCTAAACAAAAGAAGCAGACTCTTCTGAAATTTGTGAAACAATGTGATACATATGCCAAAGATATGTGAAAATGCGATGCGAGAGACATGCAAGAAGTATGCGAAACATGTCTTTGTTGGTGTCAAATTGCCACCATTTTGATCCGGGACACCCGATACTTATGGAAAGCCCGATTTCGCTTGTTTTTCGTGTTCACATGGGGAGAAAGAGGCAGTGGTGGCATTTCGAGGGTTACGAGCCACTATCGACAAAATCAAGCAGAAAGAATTCGGCTTTTTAAGGCTTAGGAGAAGAGTTTTGCCTACCGGGAGGGAGGAGCTGGAGTCCAAAATTTGCAGTCGTCCTTTGTTTACCTGTTGGCAACGGTGTTCAATAGAGTGACCTGCTCCTTTTCGTCGTAGTGCTGGAGCAGATCCCTTGCTTTCATTGCTCTTTTGATTGCAGGCTGCATGCGCATCCATCCTCTCTAGTCGTCTGTGGAATGCATTTTCATGGGGCAGCGGGGCAACGGTGCCAAATACGTTGTGTGGATCTCCGCCCTGTTAGTTTTCATCATCATCACTATTACTGCTGCAGTTGTTGGTCTCCTGTCTGCGGACACGTGTAGTCTTTGTCAACCGAGGTTGGGGGGAGTGGGAGAACATGGCGCTGGACTGTTCACAGAATATCCTCCCAAACCTGTGTGCAAGGGACTGCACCATGCACTGGCTCTTCTCTTTTACCACTTGTTGTGCCCTGCAGAAGTGCCTTTGTGTATCCATCTATACTGGTCAGACCTCAAACAGCTTTCCTTCTTCTACACGCCTTATCCATTCAGTTTTGCTGAACCCCCGCCTCTGCCACGATGGTCTGCGATTTGGGGACTCGCTGTCGCTGCGCTCTTTTCCTCCTTTGCTCTTCTGGCCTTTCTGCGACTGTTGCCTCTGCTGCTGCGGCCCTCCTAGGCCGGAAATGCCCACTTCCATCTGTAGTGTTTAAATAGCAGCAAGGAGCAAGGATGTCCTGACCCTGATCTCCCGGCTGTTCAGGCCCTGTCTCGTTCGTCTCTTTCATCAGAGGGGGATCATCACGTCTCTCATATTCTGAGTCGCAGTCGTCTTGAGATACTGGTGTTGCCGGCCCTTGGAGAACTGCTGGTGATGTCCTCTTTGCTGAGGAAGATCCTTCCCGATCCTGCCTGGTTGCTTTTGGCCCTGCTGCAGAGTGCATCACTGATTTGGACTTCAGCTCTTCGTCGGCCAATCGCCGATATGTCTGCAGAGCTTTACACTGGGGCCTGAAACGGCTGGCCAGCCTTGCTGGTGAAGGCAAACATTAGAGCCTGCTCCCCGAGGCCAAGCCCCTGTACCTGCAGGATATGGTCATATTCCCTGGTCAGCACTTATGCTGCCTCTGTGCGTTTGATAACCCAAACGCGATGAATCTCGGGAGCGTTTTGTCCTGCTTGGTCACTGCCTCTTAGAGATCCTTAATTTGACGTTGTGAACTCAGCAAGTGACCTGCGTACTCTATTGTCTCCACCTGCCTGCTGTAGCATCTCAGAATCCATCCATTTCTTGGCAGCGTTGGCGATGTAGGAGAAAGCAAAGCGAATTTTCTCTTCATCCTTCTCTATCTTGTAATATCTCAGTTGGCCTTCAATCTCACACAGCCAGCTTTCCACATCCTTGTTTCTTTCTCCTCTGAACTCCTTGGCTGATCTAAGTTTGGCCGTTGGGGCTGCTTGACCTCTGCCTCGGAAGATATCCCTGCTCCCTGGTGTGGACTCCGCACGCATGGAGATCCGTATGGCAAGGAAGATATATATGTATGTATAAATGTATACATATATTTGTTCCACCTTTGTTGCCGGAGACATGCTCATCTATGGTTTGCCACACCTTTGCCGCTCTTGCCTCGTCAGGGCGAAGAGCATCACAGTCTCTCCATCACTCGTGTCCTTTGTTTCAAACTCTTGCCCAATCAACCCCCCTCTCATCTCTTTCTGTGCTTGGCCGCAGATGGCTGGGTACCTTCTCACCACCCCCGTCTCCTCCATGGTCTTGCTTGCAAACCGACTCCCCTGTTCCATTGTTCTCATTGTTCCACCTTCGTTTCTGGAGACATGGTCATCTCTGGTTTGCCACACCTCTACTCCTCTTATTGTGAACATCACAGTCTCTCCAACCCTCATGTCCTTTATTTCAAACTCTTGCCCAATCAACCTCCCTCACACCTGTTTCTGTGCTTGGACGGCTGTGTTCCTCCTCGACGCCCCTGTCTCCTCTATGGTTTCGCTTGTGCACAGACTCTCCTGTTCCCATTGTTCCACCTTCGTTGCCAGTGACATGCTCCGGTTTGCAACACCTCTACTCTTCCTATTGTG